TAAAATTTTGTACAACCGACTTCAATATAGATAAAATGAGAACATCATCAATGTATTCGAAATCAATTAAATACCATTATTATTATTAGGGATAATTCAAAAACTTCCAGGTCAGATCTTAATCAAATTTATGTGAGACCACACTAGAAGCATCAGCTTTCAAATAAAAAAAAGAATCATCAAAATCGTAAAAAAAAACATACCGTCGAATTGAGTACCTCCTCATTTTTGAAGTCGGTTGAAAAATTACTTCTTAGAATCACTTTATTAGCATAGCAAGTAACTTAACTTAGAAAATTCTGTATATACAGACAAACAAACTAAAACAAAATTTGAGTAACGTTATCATACAAGAGCATAGAGCATACAAGAACAAGAGTAGAGAGTATATAAGAGAAGAGATATCGGCTTTGCGCTTAGCTATCCACCTTACTAGAGTCACAGTCTAACTTGTGCTTAGGCTGTGCGCGGTGGCCTGCCTAGTTTACCTACTGACCTACTACCTCAGTTTAATTTAAGCTGTGCTACTACTGTATGGGAAGCCCTTTCAAAAAATGAATGGTTGCACATTCTTGAAAAGGCCAATGACTCATGCTCAGTAATGGACTTAGATAAAGGCTAACGAAGAAAAAACAAACCATGACCTCGTCTAAACAAATTCAGTGATTATGGAGATAGTTTTAACCGACTTCAAAAAGTGGGAAGTCCTAAATTCGACTGTATGTTCTTTAATGTGTTTTATCTCAGAACTTTTTTCCGGCTGAACCGATTTTGATGATTCTGTTTTTATTTAATAGCATTGATTTATATATTTGATAGCTAGTGCGTCTCGTGTGGGGCCCATATAAATTTTATCAAGATCTGACCAGTAGTTTTTGAGTTATCATTAATAAAGCGTATTTAATTTACTTCGAAAACGTTGATGATGTTCATTTTATTTATATTGAAGTCGGTAGTACAAAATTTTTAATTTTACCCCTTGTTAATTTGGGAGTGGCCTGTGTTGCCATCAATAATAAACCGCAGGCACGGCCTAAGAGTAGTTACACTGTGACGTATGTATTTGCGGTGTAAGAACATCCAGTACCCCATACCGTATACCCGATAGAGGTGAATAAGTCAAGTTATTGGCAGTAATGTCTTGCTAATAAGAATTGGAAATAAAAAACATATAAACACTCACGCCTGTCACCCAGAGGGTTAGGCAGAGACTACGGACTTCCATTTGGCACGATCCTGACATACCTCTTTCGCCTCCTTTACATCCATATATCTACGCATACATGCTCGTCGGTTAAGGGTACTTCTAACGTGGCCCCTTTTCAAAATATCGCCTAATTTGGTCGATAAACTTTTTTCTAGGGCGTCCCATCCCGACTCGGCCGTTCACATCTGCCATATAAATTTGCTTTGTCACTCTTTCCTCATTCATTCTTTCTACATGACCAAACCACCGAAGCATTCCTTTATTAATCCTGGTCACAACATCATCTTGCATACCACATTTATCTCTTATCACGCAATTTCTCACCCTGTCATTCAGATTCAACCCTATTTCTACAGCATTTATTCTACTTTCGTGCTTCTTCTGCCACACCCAGCTTTCACTACCATACATTAAAGTAGGGACTAACACAGCATTATGAATTACCATACGTGACTTTTTTGACACATTCTGGTTCTCCATAATAGAGAGTAGTGCCTCATTCACTTTATTTCCCGCATTCACTCGTCGTTCTATATCCCTATCATATCTACCATCCCTGCTAAATACACATCCCAAATACACAAACTCATCCATTTGCTCAATTAACTCTCCTTCTATTCTTATTTCACATACCGTTTTGCTTTCTTCTCTTTCAAAAACCATCACTTTCGTCTTACTTGCGTTCACTTTCATTCCCCTTTCTTTTAATTCCCAGTTCATTAATGTAACCATTATTTGCAATTCAGCCGCCGATGACGCAAATATGACTTGATCATCGGCATACAAAAGGCATTTGACGGTTAACTCGCCCATTCTTAACCCACATTCTTCATCTTTAAAAGTTTGCAAACACCTGTCCATAAATAGGTTGAACAGCCAAGGGGAAGCTACACAGCCCTGTCTGACACCTTTTTGGATGCCAAACCAGTCCGAGTAGACCCCATTGATCCTGACACAAGCACTAGAGTCCCTATAAAGAGACCTTAATGCCTGTATCAAACCAGCGCTCAACCCATATGAGTTCAGTGTTTGCCATAACACATTCCTGTCCACTCTGTCATAATCTAAACTCTGTCACGGAAATAAAAAACTGTGGTTAAAACTCGCCTGCCAAACGTGGTAGCTATTGCAAATATCCCCCCTATGTGGTAAGCTCTGGGGGAGGCTATGTTCAGCAGTGGATTTTAATAGACTATAACGGTGACGGTAAAAAATAAATAAATGAATTTAAAAAACAACAAGTTCTGAACTTAGGCTTTGGCCTATCTTTAAGCTGATCCAACTCAGTGAACTTTGATGAGGGAAATGAATATTTTTTTATAGTATAAGGGTGACAAACGAGCACACAGTCCACCTAATGGTAAATGGATTCTGTGGCTCATAGACATCTATATTTATCTTCAATTAAGAATCAAAATGCAAATGCGTTGTCACCTCTGAGGACTGAGATGGAATGACTCGTTTCCAGTAAAAAGGGTCTCCGGTTCTCTACACTCACCGTTAGAAACATCAGCATTACGCTGCTATTTTACGCTGGTTCTCTGTGAGATCGTGGTCCTGCCCCGGTCGAGCCGACCCATTCGTGCCATCATCATCATTAACTTCATCATTCATTACCCATTATAATGGTAATGCTAATGAATGATGAAGAAAATTAATAATTGAGCCCGGGAGCATATCTCGTTTAATTTTTTTTAATTAATTTGTGTTTTTAAAGGTAATGTTTTATAAAAAAGTTCATGAAATACCGTAGGTTATTCATGAACTTTTTTATTAAACATAAATGTAATGTGCGATTATGAAGCACATCTCTAGTAGGTACATTTCATAAAAGATAGCTTGATCTCTGCGACAGCTGTCAGTAAAATCACGCCTATGAAGTCCTGAATTTCTTAGTAGTGCAGACACATGGAAATACATGTACTTCATACTTCCGTGTACAGACAGTACCTGTCAATGTCATACTTTATGGGCATGCACTCATTAGGTCGGCATGCCCATAAAGTATGACATTGACAGGTACTGTGTGTCTGTACTACTAAGAAATTCAGGACTTCATAGGCGTGATTTACTGACAGCTGTCGCAGAGATCAAGCTATCTTTTATGAACTATAGTTAAAAAAATTACCTGTAGTAAGCATACTAAGCATAGTACGTAACTGCGCGCGCAGTGAAGTCAATAAAAGTTTTATAATTTTATTAGTAAAAAAGCTACATTAGGTGATATTAGAAGTTATTGTTCATGTAATAGTTATAACAGAATGGGAAATTCAACAAAACGAAATTCTTTTACATTTTTTTAAAATTAATATTTTTGTCGTATCTTGTAAACACGTACGCAAATTACGTTCTTGTGGCCTGTCATCCGTATAATGCTACAACGTAAAATATAAGTAAACAAAAGATAAGTGAATTGATTTTAAATAATATAGGTAAATGGTTTTCACAATATACCAATGCCTCGGTAGTTTAGTAAAGATTGAAGCTTTGCTTGGGCGCCTTGAGATACTATTGCCAATCGCCATCAACTGTTTACTTGCTCAAGCTGTCGTCAATATCTCCCAAAAATTTCGTAATATGATGCATCAATATATTGTGATGAAGTGTACTTACTATATGGGATAATTTATTATTACTTGCTACTGGTAGAAGTGTAATCGAAAGAGTCCATTGCTAGAAAATGATGCCATAAATTAAAAGAAGATATCGGTGCTTGATTGCTGTAAGGGTATAGAGTTACACTACCGGTATAAAACATTGATATCACTATTTTTAATGGTAGACCGAAAGCGGTTAAAATTCACTGATACGCCACAGTAAAGGTTATGTAAAGGAATTGTTATACCTTTGTGTAACTTTTACGTAACTGAAAGTATATTGGTAACAAAAATATCTGTTTGTGTATGTAACCAAAAGTATTTGTTATTTTGACAATGACAATAAAGAAATTCCAAGAAACTAATTGAAAACTGAGGTAATTATGAACCACAATTTTCCCACTCCAATTTAATTTTCGTAAAAATTTCGGTTTAACTGTTTTAGCTTTTTTAGGAGCGACTGTTGTATCACTTTCAGAATTAATTGTCATTTTAAGAAATGCAAATTAATTAATACTTACTTGAATAGATTTTTTCTTTCTTCGAACAAAAATATTGCCTAAATATTCAAACGTAACAACGTTTGTACTCCGTTCTGTTTTCCACGTTAGAGTATCTATAAAATCGATAAATCATTCAAAAATTACGTAAAGGACTCTATTTTATGCAAATATATAAAGTATATTTATCAAAACTAAAGTAATATAAGGCATGGCAACCCTAGTTGTAAGTCATAACCCATAATTTTTCGGTCATGGAAGCCCTGGATATCGTACACCTAACAATAACATAAAAAGAAAAGAAGTGTCAGTAGTATACAGCAATAACACTGTTACTTCGAAATACCAAAACATAATCGGAAAATTTTGCGATAAAAACAGTCCTTCGCGATAATTCAAATAAAAACTTGACTGGAAATGAGGAGTTCGAATCAGGTACTCTATAAGCATTATTATTTGAATGAAGTTTAAATAAAAGTTTTAAGAAAAACACTATATAAAAATAAAAAATAAAACAGTAACAATCAAACTAAAAATATTAAAATACAACTAAAATTCCTGTCAAAAATTCAATTAAATAATTCTCATTTAATTTCATATTAAGGGTTGTAAATCTTGAATATAGATTATAAACCTAAAGTGAAATTTTAGACAACTAGACAGAAATTTTATACTCAGTAAATTTAGGCTACTCACATCGTAACTCCAAGTGCAAGACACGCCAGCAAACTTAGCAACGCAGCGTCCTAGTTCGACGTCTTCATGAGTAGTATATAGGTGTTTTAGACAGTATTTCACGTGTGGAGCCACCCTTCGCAACGTCTCCCGGGAAATCAGCACACCTGGACCACCCATGCAAAAGTTCTCATTGTACTCCAAGGCCAAAGCGTCCCTCTCCGCAGTCGTACCCCTACCCGCTTGCCCAATAAACTGTGGCTTTCGACTGTCCACTGAACGCAAAAACTCCCCCAACTTGTCACCTCTAACATACACATCGTCATCAGCACGCATGAACCACTCGAACTTATCCCCGTATTTCTCGTACATGTACAGTAACATAAGGAAAGATTTCTTCTGAGGCGGATAGCTATCATCCACAAAACGCAATGGAACTAAAGGCAACCCCGGCGCACGAGATACCTCTGAGCTGAAGAAAGCTATTTTACCCGGCAAGTCCTGCGCCCACGTATCGTAAACTGCTCTCGCCCGCGAGTCCAAATATTGTTCCGCGGTCATAACACCCACGAAAACCAAAGTTTTATTCGAATTTTCAATAGTCTCGTCTGGACTGAGACCTATGATAGCCAACGGGTCTGGTTCGATATACAACTTTGCCGCATCCGGACACGACTGTATCGAAGTTCTTGAAGACGTCCTTAAGCACAACTTGAGGAAGACACCAAGAGTGACGCCGGCGACAACGCCAGCCACCAAATGCATCCATCTGCTTCTCCGCGGCATCGTTACACAGTGCTGTCAACACCCACTGATACCCGTCGACGACATGTGCATTCCAAGAATAGACTTTTTATCCCTTTTACATCGACGGGGGTATACATTAACGAGTAATTTTTTCATTCACTTTCTATTGATCACTTGGTCGATATTGGCTCGTCACGTAAAATCAGACCACTATCGCGGTGTCACTAACTAAATATTGAATTTGCAGACAGATATTATCAAAACGAACGCGTATGTGAGCGGCGCGTGTCGAAATACGAGCCGTTCATTTTTAGCTAGCAGTTCACACACAACACAACTCACTCTTGCGCCGCCCGCCGTGCAACTGGACTGGATCGTTTCGTTTGATCACCTCAAAACAAAACTTATGCAGCAGAATTCAATATGTCCGCAAATCGAACAACCGTCTCGCTCGCTGGCATTCGTTACTACTTACTACCTGTGTTGTTGTCTCTGTCGCGGGTAGTGTCTGCCGGATTGTGAACTTGTCCCATTCATCGCTGGACGGCCGTCAAGCGACAGACAATGACCGGGCTCTCTGTCTGGTCTCTATTAGATCTTATGGTCTGGCGAATCGCCGCTCCCTCACTGGCCGGTGGCCGGTGTCACATTTTGTTACACTTACACATTTTACGACGAGAGTATGCAGATGCAAAAGTGTCATTATCGCTCTATTCATGTATGAACACAACGTCACATAGTGGAACGAATCTTCATGTTACCGTTAATCACATGGTTAAAACACAATCAAGATATTCAAATAATTAAACCAATTATATACGTCATAGTTGCAGGTTTCTCTACGACAACTGTTGTACGTAGACGTACCATATATTCGAAAGTACTATTAGTTGTTCTGTGTGAACAAAACAAAATAAGAATCAAAACGCAGATGCGTTGTCATCCCTGAGGACGGAATGAAAAAAGAGATGGAATGCCTCGTTTCCAGAAAAAGAGGTTCTCCAGATCTCTACACTCACTATACGAAACACAGCAGTATTAAGCTGCTATTTTAAGCTGGTATTCTGTGAGAGCGTGGTCCTTCCGCGGTCGAGCCGACCCATTCGTGCTACAACCATAATAAAGCTGCAGCGTGGCTCTACGTCGCATAAAGACTGTTTGTTTTGTCCTTTTTGTTTGTTTTAAGTTAATTAACATTTTTTTCCTGTCATTATTCAATAGCTATTTAAATTTATTGCAATGTATTAAGTTTCTATTGCAGTCCTAATATGTTGTTTAGATGTAAAGGAACATTGAACATTTAGAACGCAAGTAATGTAGTCTAATTTTATTATTTTGCTGTTTTCTATTCTTCATCATCATCATTACTGTCCTTCACAAGTCCACTGCTGAACATAGGCCTCCCCCAAGAAACGCTACATAGCTCGGTGCTCAGCCACCTGCGTCCATCTAGGTCGTCACTCCATCTAGTGGGGACCACTCGTGAACCTTTCTTCGCCATCGGGTGTCGGTTCTTCGAGGCCGGTCCATTGTCACTTTAGCTTATTTATCCGTTGGGCTATATCGGTTACTCTGGTTCTATTGCCGAGATACTTTTTTTTTAAATAAAGTTACTTGAGATCGACCACTATCTGAACTACTCGAAAGGCACGAAACGGATCACAATTAAAACCAGAAGTTTTGCAAAATATTAAGTGCAACGTGCTGATATCATTATAACTTAAGTAATATTTTATTTATTTCAGTTTGAGTAAACCTTGGGTAAGCATTGACAAAATAATTTCAGAAAATGAATAAGCTAAGATTCGCAAGATGGTTTAAAAAAGTATATGTTACCCAATTTGATTCGAATTCGGAACTAAGATAATCTTTAAAATGATAAAGTTGCCGAAGTAACAAATGATTCTATGTATTATCTTAAAAATGTTTCATACTCGTATGACAGACGCTCCGTACATGGCATGTATGGGCCGGGATTTCCTTTGTGAACATAGCAGTAAATTTATAGATACCTAAATTAACAGTGGTTTGATACCATGAAATGGGATTACAAAACAATAAACGCATATCCAGAGTTCCTTTACCCGTTAATGGTATTGTAAATGTACTAATCCGTATGACTGGGGTGCCCTTCAAATTCTGAGAGATTCCCAACATTTCCGTAGTTTCTACAATTCACTAGTAGAATCTTTTATATAACATTCCAAAATTTAAAAAGTTAAATAGCTTGCAACGACGAAATTTTGAATATAGAACACGGTTCAACTACCTAATGCGCCGGTAAGCCCACGCTAGACTCAGCCCTAATTGCTGGCACACGCTCGGCCCAGAAACTCGATTTACCAAACAAAATCCCCAAACAAAACTGTTCTAGCAGTACTTAAGTCAATGTCATTTAAACAATACGCCAAAAATAACAGGACTACGGCGCCGTTTTACATTCAAAGTTCACTGAAATTCGAATTTTAAATAAGTTTATTTTATTGGAAATTTAAATAGGAGATTGCCAGCAGCGTCTTCCTAATCATCTCAAAATTATAAAAGACTGCAGTTGCCAAACCGCGAGGTGACTATGGCAAAATCCCTCCCTGTGAGGTAATCTATGGTGGAGGTCTATGTTCAGCAATGGACTTATAAAGGCTATAATAGATGGATGGTCTTTATTGTTGTTTATTCCAATTGTTTATAGCACGTCAGCAAAGTGATGGATTCCTGCCGGCAATAACGAAGTTGTTAACTGCAATTTTAGTAATGATTTTCTACGTGGTAGAGCCCCGCTGCAGCTATATTATAGTTGTAGCACGAATGGGTCAGCACGACCGGGGAAGGACCACGCTCCCACAGAATACCAGCGTAAAATAGCAGCTTGATACTGCTGTTTCGTATGATGAGTGTAGAGATCCGGAGACCCTTTTTACTGGAAACGAGGCATTTCATCTTGTTCCTCAGGGTTGACAACGCATCTGCATTTTGATTCATAATCGAGGGTAAATAGAGATATCTATGGGCCACAGCATCCACTTACCGTCAGATAGTCTGTGTGCTCGTTTGTCACCCTTATTCTATAAAAAAAAGTTTTTGGCGAATCACATCTAAGAAATCATACATATATTGAGGACATGCGAAGACCGCCACTTTGACCGCCAGCGCGGCTGACTGATTCCCGTTTACAATTTTTACTTATTTATTTTATGTTACAGAAAAAAAAAGTCACATAAGTTCAAACAGTTAATTTCTTAACAAAAACTTATTTTTGAGGTATATTATTATGCTTGAAGATTTGTTATTTGCTAATAAAGGTCTTGTAGCCAAAATTAGAATTAATAAATAAATAGTTGTTGAGAACGGAAAATTCTTAGAAACGAAACCAGTGTTTTCCAGATTAAATAATTGGATACTAAATGTTGTATTAATATAATTGATATAGTAAACCAATCCTGTTTGGTATAGCAGATTGCCTTGTATAATTCGATACGAAAATAAGAAAAATGGTAAGTAAACTTTGGTTAAGATATCGCTTTTAAGTAATTTTAACTTAAAAACAGTAAATAAGTATTATTTATAATCTATATTAATTTCTTCTCTTCGACACTGCATTCGATCCGTGCCATGGACTTAATACTAAACGTGAGTTCACCATTGTTAAAATAATGTCAAAAGACTGAACGTTTGTTAACCGTTAGGACAAACAAGCACCTTTTATAAACTAACTCTAATCGGAAATAGCGCAAACTGGGTAATATTCGTTAAGTTAAAAAGTCACTCAATTAGTTATTCTTAGTAATTCTTACAGACTAATTTCTGTTGAATTTTGTTATTTTACTAGCTTTGAAGCTCTTTATTTTCAGGGACCCAGCTGTTTAAAATATGTTGGCTGAAGTGCCAGCTCTGAAAATAAAGTTAAGAGAGTTTTTATACTTTATTTATAGGTTTGAAACAACATAACTTAAAAACATACTTCTATAAGTAGACAAGTTGGCAAACAAATACAAAGAAATTGGTGACGACTGATGATGTCTCAAGGCCGTCATCAAGAGAGCTGTTAGTGCTGCCCCGAATTCGACTAAACAGTCATCCTTGATTAAGAATCAAAATGTAGATACATTATCAAGTGTACGACTAAGATAGAATGCCGCATTACCTGTACAAAAGAGTCTCCGGTTCTCTACACTCACTGCTTAAGAAGCTTTTACGCTGGTATTCTGCGAGAGATTCCTTCCCCGATTGAGTCGACCCATTCGTGCTACAACCATAATATAGCTGCAGCGATCACGATTTTATGCAAGGAGGCAATTTAAGAATACTATCAAAATCAATACCAGCAATCAAAATATTAAAATGTAAATACTCCGGACTCAGTAAAGTATATTTTGATCCCAATGATTTAGGTATGCGGATTCTTTTATGAAGACTTAGTAAAACCTTTTCTTCCGACATAGCAATGTTTACGGCTTCTTTAAGACTCTTTGGATATTTACATCGGAGAATTTGAGAAATTTTAGAATTAATTCCTATGAAAATACAATTTTTTTTTGCATCCCGGTAATTAACTACCATTATTGCAAGAAAGTTTTACTACCGTGAGTAATTTTGACAAAAATGTTTCTATACGAAGCGCGAATTAGTTTAGGAATTCAAGAAGAACCGCCGTTACTTCACATCCTTACAAGTTTTGATAAACTGAATTTATATTCTTACTATTTTATACGTGGTAGAGCCACGCTGCAGCTATATTATGGCTGTAGCACGAATGGGTCGGCTCGACTGTGGAAGGACCACGCTCTCACAGAATATCTACGTAAAATAGCAGCTTAATACTGCTGTGTTTCGTATGGTGAGTGTAGAGAAGAAAAAGGGTCTTTTTAAGGGACCCTTTTTACTGGAAACGAGGCATTACATTTTAGTCCTCAGGGGTGACAACGCATCTGCAGACTCTGTTTAAAGCTATCCGCAGGTGTCCATAGAATGCAGTAGCCCAAAGATTACCTATAAAACAACTTTGGCAGTAGCCATTAAAC